GGAGCGGAAGCGCCGTCAAAACACAAGGGTTTTATGTACTCGCGATCGGCGGGACAGGGATGGAGGTTGTCCGCGCGCGAGCCGCGGCGGAGCGAAGGCCGTCTCGTTACCTCAGAACTGGGCGCCAGGTACGGTCTCTCACGTACCAGTTTCACGAATTCTTCGAAAAACGCGAAAGAGTACGACAGCCCGCTTCGCCACGGGCTGGCTAGCTCGCCTAACGGTAGAGGGGCGGGGTTTGCAAGAAAAAGTGAATTGATTGAGCGAGCTTACTAAATTAACAGACAAAGACGAACACAGAAATTACGGACGATCGCCAGTCAAATAAAGAACGCGAGATTTAATAAATAAGAAAATAACAGGTTTATTAAGAACGTAGATAATCAGAAAAGTGATTAACAAAAAGAAGTAAAAATCGCTACAGAATGAAAACAGAAATAACGTACTAGACATGAACGGACAATGATTCTCGAAACGCTCGAAAATCGCGCGATATTCTCGGTCTAACAAAGAACGTCTGTTACGGCGGCTTCCTAAAATCGAAGCTCCTGAGAACAATACTTGATATAACTGAATTTGGTAATTCGAATTCTCAATAACTGGCTTACCATACGAGAGAGAGAGATAATACCAGCCTATAATTCGCAGCTTCGACAGCCTCGCGGAGATCCTACTAATTAGCTGCGTATTTCGCAATTTCCTCCGAGCGTGCTCGGAGTCGACAACCCAGAAATAAGGTAGCCGGTCAGCTACGCAATAAGCGACAAGATATGAATTCCGCGAGGAGAGATCCCGCATACGATGGGCGGACGATACCGGCGAAGTTCGATAGCCGGCGGCGGTCGGAGATTTTTCCGCCTTTTTCGGCGACGCTCGCAACTCAAATATTTCTGGCAATCGGGGCGATGCGGCAATGTCGTGTCACACCCCCGATACCTTCGACAGCGTGAGAATTAATTGTTTTCTCTTATCAAGGAAATAAGGAAGGCCGGGCGACAGTCCCGCACCGCGCCTCCTTCGATAGCCGTGCTATTCGCCAGGAATTTCCTGACCTCCGGCCTCAATACTTAGAATCGGGCGATACCCGCACACCGCGACAATTTCGAGGAATTACGTTCCTTCTTGCGAGACGAATAACTCACACGCACACAATAGACGCGACAATAATACTCAGGTTCGCGCCAGATTCACGAACGATTAAAATACACGAAGACTCATTAATCACGAATAATTACTTCCACAGACTCGCTCTGAGACATATTTCAGAGGTGCGAGACGCGGCTTCGACAACCAGACGACAGCCCGTACGAACTACGCATTTCTCGCGATTTACGACGCACGCGGTCGATACCCGCTGGTCAGATGCTACGCGTATTACGCACTCTGATACCCGGAGAGAGACGAGAATTACCCTACGATACGCACTTCCGTCGCCAGTGTCCGCGCTTCCTCGGTCGCTTGTCTCCAGTCGCCCGAAATACACAAAATCGACCGACTCGGCAGAAGGCTCGAGCGGTCGCGATAAGCCGTAATGGCGACGGCGACAGAACGGCCGGCGAGCGGACACGATCACGCTCGCGGAGTACCAAAATTACGTGGGCAACCTCACCGACGGAGCTCCTCCTGCTGTGGGGATGATCCTCGGCCTCGTCCTCCAAGTTTCGTCTCGTTCTCGAGCTCACACGACAATACAATACACAATATGCGTCTTCGCCTATACGAGTCGAGCGGCTGCGACCAAGTGAGCCCTGGATCTCGCGATCCAGGGTCGATAGCGGGGTCGTTGGCCGCGCAGGGGGATGCGCGGACCCCCGGCCAATTAGCGGCCGACACGCGCGAGGTCCTGGCGCCTCGCGCGCCACGCGAGGCATTTTCGCGCCCCGCGCGAAATAGCGCCAAACTTGAACGTCGCTGCGGGCCCTTATATGGCCCGGGTGAGGTCCTTCCCGCACGCATCCTCTCCAGGAGGATGGCTGTCGCAGCGGCTGTCGTTCCCGGCTGTCGAGGGGAGGCTATGCGGCTCTCCCCGGTCCGGAACTATGATGCCGGGCTTTCCGGGACAGGATCCTCCGCTCTTATGAGTTTCCCTTGGCTGTCGTTCTTAGCGGTCGCGGGGAGGCGATGATGTTCTCCCCTGTTCTTCGGTGCTCGATGGTGAGGCGCCTCAAGCCGACTCGATACAAAATAAAGGATGGAAGAAAACAAAAAGAATTAATACTACACGCAATTATACTCATTCGCTCGTCTCTCCGGGGAATTCGGTAGCTCTCTCTCTCTCTCTCAACCTTTGGCGCGGCCACTCGGCTCGCGCCCCGTCAAGATTGCCGGGGCGGATAGACGCGACGGGACGGCCACGTCACAGTATAAATAATATGTATAAATAATATGTATACATAATATGTATAATTAATATATATATTAATACTTAAAATAAATAATGTTATCCTACAAAGATTACGAGATTTATAGTTATTTTACATATAAAAGTGTTGTAAGGATTAAAATAATGTGATAACGTACTTTTTCCGTAAATCCCTGCAATATTTTCAAGACTTTCTTTTGCTTTCTTCCTTGTGATGACAATGAGAATAATAAATCATTATACAACCAAGGCCTTAATACTCTAAACCGAAATTCAATAAAACTACATAATTTCAAATGATGATATAATTCCAATAATGTTATTTTGTAAAAGCCTTAATTAAAACCATCATGAAATTAGTTTAATGTTTAATAACCATAGATTGTAAAGAATATATAAAAAATTTAAATCTATATATGTTACAAAAAAGTAGAATTTGTACTAAAAACTTTTTATTTTATCAAGGCTATAAAATTTTGATCAAAAATAATTACTTTACACATTTTGAATACAATTTATTTATTTTTTTATTGTTCTGATAATTTCAACATTTTAAAAAATACAAATAATTATGTAATAAAATATTTAGTGATACATATACAATAGATCTTGATTAATAATTGTCGACTTGTAAACAAAGTGCCGTTTTCACTAAGTTCACCTTTACGTAATTATTCATTAATTAATTTATTTTTCAAAATGTATAATTTAATGTATCACAGTTAATAGATCATAGAAAAAGTTAGAAAATGAGATTATAAGTTAAAAGATGTGAATTATAAGTTAAAATATCATACAATTATATACCATATCTATGAATTACCTGTAAAGTATTAATTCGGTTATATCGTGAATCGCATTTCGATACTTTCATTGCACCTCGCCAAATTTTTGCAAAGAAACGCCCATGCTAGTTTCTACAAATACATTTAATTAAAACAGTCGAAGATTATTTACAGATGAATATTTTGTAGATTGCTTTTTTTCAAAAATATTGAATATTATCTATTTTTCCTTGTTGATACTTTGTGTAGAAACATTATTCTATATTTATTTGAAGCTATAATCACTTAGAATAAAATTCCTGTATACATAATGCAAAATAAGAACCACTTACCGCATATCGCACTTAGCGTATGTTCACTAATAAATGGTAATAAATCTTTTACAACTGTCCCTCCGACATCTTTCAAAGATTTTGTCATGTAATCGCCCTCCTTGATTAAGGTATCAACAAACTTATTTAATATATTAAAATGGAATGCAGGTGTTAACATCTTTCGCCGCGCCCGCCACTTAATCGCTAAAACAGAAACAAGATAACACAAAATTGTGCTATAAAAGAGAAATTGCAAATATCAACGTAAATGTAATTATGTTATGTATGTTATGTATATATATTAAATGTTATTATTTTGTAATTAAATCTTTATGAATTGGCAGATAGAAATAAATTATAATTTATTTCTATCTGCCAATTCATAAAGATTTAATTACAAAATAATAACATTTAATATATATACATAACATACATAACATAATTACATTTACGTTGATATTTGCAATTTCTCTTTTATAGCACAATTTTGTGTTATCTTGTTTCTGTTTTAGCGATTAAGTGGCGGGCGCGGCGAAAGATGTTAACACCTGCATTCCATTTTAATATATTAAATAAGTTTGTTGATACCTAAATCAAGGAGGGCGATTACATGACAAAATCTTTTAATCAAACACCATCACTAATAGATTGTAATATCAGTAATAGATTTAATTAATATTAATATTAATTTATATATTTATATATTTATATATTTATATATTTATATTATTATTATACATTAGATATTTATAGTAATTTATTTTTATCTGGTAATTTTAGAAATATTTTTTTAGTTAAATCAAATACACCACCACGAATAGATTGTACTATCAGTAATAGATTTAATTATTATTAATTTATATATTATATATTATATATTATATATTATACATTATATGTAATATAAATATATATACATATATATATATTATATACATATTATTTATTAAATATATTATATATATATATATATATATATATATATATTATATGTACCTTATATATTATATATTTATATATTATATATTTATAATAATTATTATAACTATATAATATATAAATATATAATATATAAGGTACATATAATATATATATATATATATATATATATAATATATTTAATAAATAATATGTATATAATATATATATATATATATATTTATATTACATATAATATATAATATATAATATATAATATATAATATATAATATATAATATATAAATTAATAATAATTAAATCTATTACTGATAGTACAATCTATTCGTGGTGGTGTATTTGATTTAACTGAAAAAATATTTCTAAAATTACCAGATAAAAATAAATTACTATAAATATCTAATGTATAATAATAATATAAATATATAAATATATAAATATATAAATATATAAATTAATATTAATATTAATTAAATCTATTACTGATATTACAATCTATTAGTGATGGTGTTTGATTTAACTGGAATATCTCTCTTATCTATTTCTACCATTTATAACAATATATACGTGCATCACAGCGAAATTATCTCATCTGCAAATTTCTTTTTTATTAATTTTTGTAACACAGAAATATAAATTCGCTATTTAGGATAATATTCTATTAGTGTTTTTTGTCTTTAATGACAACAACTATAATATTTTTAATTTCAAGTTTATTTTTAATTCAGACTCGCATAGATGACACTTCATCAGAGCTTTTTTTTACTGTAGTGTAATATTAAAAGTAGTAGTTTTACTACTTTTAGTATTACACTACAGTAGTAGTAGTATAGTAAGTATTAGTACTTTTAGTAGTTGTTCTACACTTCCCGCGAAATCTCGCTTGTAAAAAGAAATCTAGTTTTGTAATCAGTCTAACTAATATAAATTTAATAAAACGAATCACAGCATAGTGACATCAATATCTCGCAGTTACCCTAGAGTTATATTGTGCACCGCTACGGATTAAAGATAAAACTAGATATGTAATATATTTAAAATAACAAATGTTATAAGAATAGGTGGCGCCGAATAATAAATATAAAACAAATACACAAAAACACAAAAAAGCAAGTAAGGCCACCGATATTAAAGGTTGACAAAAAAAGATTTAATTGTAAACGCGTGTTAAATTACAATCATGTTTAAAATTTCAAGATACAATAATTAGCGCAAACGTTTCAATCCTCTCCGGATCCTTTTCAATGCAATAAATAATAATATAAACTAATCCGTTGTATCACGCCCGTAAAAGTCATATCAAGATCGTCAATAACGTCTTTTTCAACCTTTAATATCGGTGGCCTTACTTGCTTTTTTTTGTATTTGTTTTATAATATATTTAAGTCTAATTGTAACATTTTATTTGATTTTTTGTGACGTGGCTTGTAAACGAAATGACGTTTCACAAATTGTAATAGAAAAGTATATATGTACTTATACATATATTAACATTATTATATTTATATTACCTGTACTAGTTACAAGACCTGTATTTAACCAAGGATGAACAACGTTATACAGAAAACTTTTCTCGATGTGCTTAGTACTGCTTAGTATCGTCTGAAATCATCGAAAACAGAAATATGTATTATTCAGTTATTATATCACTAAAATATCTTAGATATACTGATATATTAGATACACAAATAATTTATAAATTGTATCTCTGTATTTTATTCTAACCTCGATGGAGTATCAATTTGGATTTCATTTTTTTTAAGGAACACATTTTATCAGTAAAAATCTTTCTATAAATCGCAAAACTCTTCAATCTAATTCACTCGTAATGTGTATAGAGAAATTTCTTGTATTACCTCTATATCGTCTTGTATTACCTCTATATCGTCTGGATGACGGATACCCACTCCATATATAAAAAAAACCCCGAATTTAATAATGGGATAATATTCATCAGACAATTTACAGAAGAGCTTCCATAATTTCTCTGAAAATTATATTATAAACATTAATACACACAAATGTTTTGACTAATTTTATTTTCAACATTAATGTGCACTTCTATCCAAATACGTTGAAAACAAATAAATAATAATAAAGAAAATGAATTGCAAATTGTTACTGCAAAGAGAAGTAATCTACATGTAATACACTTGATAAATATATGTTTCAAAATAAATGATTTATGAATTTTTGCTTGTGTACGTAACACAGATTTCGTTTGTCAATTAATGTAAATAGATTAGAAATTTTGTATTTACCTTCTGACACATAGCATTGGAGCGCATTGCCAATAATCGGAAAACCCGATGGTCCCGGTATAAGATTAAGAAGTTGTCGGTATTTTTTATGATACACATAATAATTATATACCAATAAAATAAATATAGAAAATACCAATATAGTAATGAACATTGTTTCTTAACCGTCCCGATGTTTCTTGACTATTTGACTACTTTTTTTTAAGCTTCTTCCGTTTGTTTTTTATTCTTCGTACATATATAAAATGTCATATATAAAATAAATATTTTTTAATATATACAAAAATAGATATTCGATTTTCGACAATATTTGTAATTATCTTGAGAAGTTAAATAAATAATATAATTATATAATTATATAATAATATAATTATATAATATAATTATATAAACTATATAATTATTGTTTAAAAGCTTATTTATTTATTTTATTTGTTCTTTTTGTTTATTTAATTATGGCGTAACGATTTTGATATCTAATAATATCGTATTAAACATTTTCTCAAAGTTAATATAATGTGCATTTTAGAAGATAATAATATGAATATTGTAACATATTATATAATAATTTAATAAAATTATGACAATCAAATAAAATTAACAATATAATATTATAATATTTGAAAGAAATTTGTGTTAAAATCATATTTCGTTTAGCATTAATTATGGTATTAAATTGGGATTTTGCAATAAAATGTTATAAACTTTTATTTTATACAAATTTTAAAAAGATTACCAGATAGATTCTATGTGCAACGATCAATGGAAACACATAATTCAAATGATTAATTTTAAGATAGAATTATAAATCTTGTTAAACAGATGCACAAGTTTAACAAAGCTGCATAAACTGATAATAAACATCTGAAGCGTGTATTTATACTGTTCTTCCACTCAAGCGCATATTAATAATTAGAACTCTTAAGAACCAGGCAATTGAATAATTCATTAATCATTTCAATTAAAGACAAACGTTTATATCTAACGTTTTTATCTTTATGAGAAATAAAAAAATGATTATGAAAACCATTTTAAAATTAGATTTAATATTGCCAGCATTTATTAGAAATAGCGATTGTTTCTATTTAAAATGTATCGTTTTCATAATCAAGATATCAATATCGATATTAACAAAATAAGGAAAACAATTTTATTTTTTTACAAATTTTTACATTATTCTTCCTAACACTTTCAATTAAATTTCTTAAATAGGCGTGCTTTAGATAATAAATCATTTAGAAATTTGTCATCTCGAATTATCTTTAGCAAAGTTAACGAACGACGCTAGTTGCTATTTTTGAATTTTATTTCAATTTCAATAATTGCTCTTATCGTTTTTTTAATTGCACATTATATTTCGAGAGAGATTTTATTTAAAAAAAACATGACAAAAGTGTGATAGGCATTTTGATGAGACCTAATATTATAAAAGTCAATTTTTTTAATGGGGTATTTCAATGTAAATGAATAATTTTTCAATATAAGAGGACAAATGAAGATATATACACATATGTATAATATACACATATGTGTCTCTTAATCTATATATTTAAAATTAATCAGAATCGAAAAAAAATATTTGTGCCAGTCTTTTGTAAGTTTTTTTTAGAAAACTCATCTTTCTTTTTTCCTCTTTTTTTTTTTAATAAAATGTATTTTATTTATTAAAGCACATGAAAGTTTGATATAATATGAAAATAATATAGGACAATAATAAAATTTCGATTTATATAGCTTTTAATCAACAGAATGAAATTCTCGTTCCGTATCTCCATTTCAGTTAAAATAAGTCTCTATAATATTTATCTTACATTTGCAATAAAATAATATTATACATGGGATATAAACGAGAATCTCAAAGAAGTCCATCCAAAGATTCTAATTCGCTAAATACAAGTTTTACATTTAAATATTATTAATTTAATGACTCGATTATTTGCGTATAAATGTTAATCATTAAAAATGATTGACATTTAAAATGATTCACTAAAAATGATTAACATTTAAAGAGCAACATGATAAAAACAAAGTGCACGATCACGAAGGAGTTGAAAAAAATTGTTGCGCAAAAGAATATTGTTGAAGTGTTTTTTATTGCTTATGTTTCTTTTGTCTTATTTTTTAACAAAAAATAATGTTATTACTTTTGAAAATTGCTTTTATTAAGAATAAGGACAGATACAAGTACTATTACAGAATTGTATTCATTCGATTTAATATGTTTTTGAAATATTAAAGATGTTATACAAAGAAAGTATAAATCCGAAACTAATACAATATAAGAAACAGATATTATAAAGATGATAAAAGATTTAATTATCAGTAGAATATATCTATATATATATATATATATATATATATATATATATATATATACATATATCCCAGTGGACAGCAAAAAACGGCGATAAGAAAGGCCTGATGTAGCATATAGGAATCTTAATTATTTGAATGCAACTTTTGCTCTTGCATTTACAAATAATTAATTTAATAAATATACTGAGAAAAAAATATAGTTGCCGTTATCATAATTTAACTATAAAGTATAGTTATTTTTGGCGGCAACTACATTTATATAGTTATTTTAACAGTGTGATTTATAGCAAATCCAATAATATATTATTGTTATTGTAAAATTAGTATATTTTCATGTAACTATATGTATGGCACACACATAACTGTCATTTTTACATAGTAAGTGATACTATAAATATGATGCTACTAAAATGAAAGTAAAAGGAACTATATACTATAATAATAAATCGTACTTACATTAATAGTAAAATATTATATTTTTTATATATAATTAAGTTAACAATGTATGTAGTTCTCATAACTTTATAGCTTATAAGATACGTTCAATTATGAAAAATGTATTATATGTTATTAAGAAGAATTTAAGTATATAATATAATTAAATTAAGAAACAATAATGCTAGGAAGAGCGCTCTGATGCGCAGCACATGTGGCTCTCTGATGTACATGTAAGCAACGTCCTCTAGTCTTACTGCTCATAAGAGAAAAAAAAATATACTTTAGACTTCGTCTAATTGTAAGTACCAGTCCTTTATACACATTTCATGAAAAATTGAATACCAGTTAGTCATCATTTATGATGTCGCCGCGTAGCGACAAACGAAGAAACACGTGTCACACATCTCTTTTCAATTTCAATGATATTTATAGTATAAATTTGCAGTTAAAAATATAGTTAAATAAACTATTAATATAATCACAGAAATGTTTATATATATGATTACTTTTTTACCTTTTATAGTTATATAGTTTATCTTTTACATAGTAAACATGTTGAAAAATAATAAATAGTGAAACAAATGTCAAGAATATGGTTACAATTATCATAATTGTGATTGTGTAGAAAAATGGTTATTTAATTTACCATATGTTACTTGATATTTTACTATATTAATATTTCACATTATCATAATTTATAGTAAAATTTTTACCTTGATTGACTGAACTACTCGTATAAAGTTATTTTTACTAACATTCTAGTAACAATAACTATAAAAATGATAGTTGCAACTGTAATTATTTAATTATGCAATTATAGTTGTAAAACACTTTTCTCTCAGTGTGTGCAAACGTTACCGTTACAAACATATACAGGGTGTCCCAAAAGTCCCCAACCGGTCGAATATTTCATAAACTATACACTTTAGAGAGAAATGTTTCCGACAAAAGTTGTATGGCTTGAAGGGGGCCATCAGATAGTGGCAATGATTTGACCTTGGAGAGTCATTTGAAGGTGACGTAAAGGTCACCTTCAATTTCTTAAATGGAACTCCCTATGTTTTATTACATATTCGTGTAGCTTATCTCGAGAGCTTTCCAAAAACACTATAATAAAGTATTTCTTCATTAAGTACTTTTCGAGTTATAAGGCTTGAAATCATTTCTTAATTTTGCATAAACCATAAAATATCTAGTAAAATGTTCATTTTTCGATTATCTTACCTTAATACTTTTATGTACAAAATAATGAGAAGTATCAATTGGTGTAAAGAAAACACATAGTTGTTTTTAAAAAAAATATGTTAATTGCAAATTACATATTTTTTTCTTAAAAACAACTATCTTTTTCTTTACGACAATTGATTCCTCTTATTATTTTGTACATAAAAGTATTAAGATAAGATAATCGAAAAATGAATATTTTACAAGATATTTTACGGTTTATGTAAAATTAAGAAATGATTTCAAGTCTCATAATTCGGAAAGTACTTAATGAAAACTAACTTAATTATAGTGTTTTGGAAAGCTCTCGACGTGAACTATTAAGAATATTTAATAAAAAATAAGGAGTTTTATTTAATTAAGAAATTGACGGTGATCTTCACGTGACTTTCAAATGACTCTCCCATGTCAAATCATTGCCACTGTCTGCTGACCCTCTTCAAGCCATACAACTTTTGTCTGAAACATTTCTTTCTAAAGTGCATAGTTTATGAAATATTCGACCGGTCCGCGACTTTTGCAACATCCTGTATAGTACATACGTAAAGGTAATCGCGGTTGATATTCCATTTCATGCCGTTATGTAAACGTCCAAGTCAAAATCTCTCCTTTGCTCTGACGCTGATCTCTCGCATTTGCAATTACGCAAGTCACCGCCGCGGAGTCGCGCGCCGGTGACTTTTGGAGCGGCTGTGAAATCCGACCGCAGACTTCGTCATTGGACAGAACATTTATTTATTATATATTTTACATCCGCAATTTATAAAATAATCTTACGTAATGTGAAATTTATATAATGGTTTCCGCAAATCTTATTAAAAGGGGACGACTTAAGGGGTATACCTTATTAAAAAAATATTTGTTCCACTGCTTATGAATGATGTATAGGGTGTAAATAGTGTTATGTCTTAATAGCATCTTCATTATTATTATTATTACTTTACTTATTCTACTTCATATAAATTCCAGGTAATTCAATTCCATTAATGGAGGAAAAGAAAAGTGCCACTAATAATAATCGATATGTCTATAATTATTTATACATACAGAGTGTCCCAGACTTAACGAATCAGCCGTTAATAGCAGATTCCTGAGATCATTTGGAGACAAAAATTCTAATACTAAAATGTTGAGAAAGACTTTATAAAAATGTTCAAATTACCGACTACTATCGTATCGAAGACACAATCGCGCTCACTGCAAAATCCTATTTTTTATTTTATATTGATCCTTCTATCGATATCGATATTATTGCGCTGTACGCGGGTTCTTTGCGCTATGTCCCTGAGCACAAAAGAATGTAATGCGTTGATTGGTAATCTTTAATCTCCTGTAGCGCCGAAACTACTTCTTCCTCAACATTTTTATATTAAGATTTTCGTTTCCAAATGACCTCAGATCTAACATTAACGGCTGATTCGTTAAGTCTAGGACACCCTGTATAAATGAAAGATACATTATATTTTGTTTATTAATGATTATTGATTTGTTTATTAATGATTGTTAGTAGGTATATAAGGCGAGTTCTAACTCAGGTTCTCTCAGGGGGGGTGAGGCGCGCGGGGGATTACGGTGGCGCGGGGGAATGACGTCACGCGGGACGGAGGGATTTCGGCGGCGGCGCGTGTTAGATGTTTTATCGCAATATTGTATTACATGCCCGATTGATAAACAATATTGCGTACGAACATGTTCGGTTTATAAATAATATAAACAGCAGCATTTCTTCGAAATGCATCGCATGCGAGAGCAACGCGTGCGAGGGAGAGGGAGCGATGGCGCGAGAACAACGCGTGCGACGAACGAGGTTTACAACTAGTGCGAGAGAGAGATTTACAACTAGCGCGAGACGAGACTT